AAAAAATCAATAATCTGATGTAATCAATTCATTTTTATAGATCCAACGGATGAAGCTGCCATGGTTTCAAGAACAGTGACAGGTAAGTGACTTGAAAAGCTTTTTTTGATAAATTTTCATATTCTATATCTAGTTGTCGATGATGGCAGCTGAACCAAGTATTAAATAAAAGAACAGTTTGCTACTTAAATGACTCAAGAAAAACTTCGCTTTAATCAAGAAATACTCAATTTATGTTTCTTTCAAATTTTATTCTTCTAGACGTATTAAATCTTTTTTTATGACCGTGAAAGTATTCAAAGACCCTCGTTCTGCTCAAAAATCGATTTTTATTGTAATTTATTTGGTTCTTCATGATATTTTGAGCGTATGTTGCAGGAATAGTGTAAAGATTTGAATAATTTTTTTCCTTTTAATAATCTAGCGTTTTTAATAAGATACTATTTGTCGAACTAGAGTCATATAACAGACCTCATAACGTATCACTACAGTTAACGAAAATTAGTACATATCGTTGACGGTAGCAGTTTTCGTTGCTATTAATAGTCTAAGCAGTAACTTGTATTCTATTCTTTAGCAAATTATTAGTGCAATTCACGCACCAATAAAATGTGGAACACGATTTAGTTGCTATTATTTCTAATCATATGAAAATTCTGTTTTTAATACATGTTTCTTTACCATCCTTTTACTTAATCAATCAGAAATGCAATAAAAAAAAGTAGTTTATATCTAATAAGGAGACGTTTGACTGCATTTCAACAGCCTGTACTGCAGTCTATAGGGGAAGGAGTGGATGGGATAGAGTTTCTATTTCTATAGTGCAACATTTTTGCTTTATGTTCCACAATATATTAATTTCACATGATATTTAAATAGATACAGATTGTTGAGGGAGAATGTCAATGTTCAAAAACAAACTGTTTATGTGATCTGAAATGCCCTTAACATCGCATATTCGAATTTCTACTGGATACATGTTATTTTAGAGATATTTGTATACTTGAATAAAGATATTTCATATTTTCAAAAACATTCAAATAAAAGGAAATAGAACTACGTAGTCACATGCAGTACAGCTTGCTTGAGCATTCTGAATAGTATGAAAAAACAATTTCTAGTTTGTCGTCATCAATAAACTTCTTTTCTTTTTTTTGAGAGAATGAGCTGAGAAATATACAAATTTGTCAACATACTCTAGTGTTCGAAGAGTTTACCCTATTCTATAACATACATCTCTTAAAATTAGGAACTTTTATAGTAATTGATTGATTTTTGAGTGAGAGCGGAGGGTGTTAGAACTACTTATTTGTTGGTGTAATATCTCGCGTGAAAAAAACATTCAACTTATGTACTTGAGAAGTGGTGATATCGAAGAAAGCTTTTTTCTTATTTTGTTTTACTGCTGTTTGATTATTTTGTTAAAATAAAGTTATGTTTAATTTAAAAAATATTCGATTATACTATGCTTCGCATGAAGTAGTTAACTGAATTGCTTTATGATCGAAACTAACTGAAATGACATTATTGAAAGTAACAAGACTAATTAACACATTTTGTTTCTAATGGTCTTTCATTCTTTTTTTCAATTCATTAGAACATCAGAAGATGACTTTAATAAGGAATACATACTAGAATATCCTTAAGAAATGATTCCTCGTATAAAGATGTTACTTAACTTGAATTGTTATTTGTTGAATATAATATTATGGTAATACACACATTGCTCTAATCCCAATTGTTTGAGATGAAGAACAAACCGTCGTCATCATTCAGTCCCATCCATCATCAACTTATGGTGAATGTGTTTGAAATATTCATTCAATCACTATAGTGATTGGATCAATACGATGTTATTTGATAAAGGGTTTGTGATGTCGTTTAATCAAAACGAAGGATTCTGGTTATGAATTTAGGAGTTGGGTGTGGGTGTGGGTGGGTGTAGCCATATGACAGATCAACATTCATCCACACCCATATCTAGAACAGTTGTTAATGTCATTTAACGTCTTTTTTCATTGGAACTGAAAAATATCCAAATCATTCTTACCCTGCTTGCTATGAAAGAATGAGATATCAGCAACACCTGAAGTTGAAACTTATGCTCACTATACTTTTCTTCGAAATACACAATGGAAGTCCTACAAAAGGATAAAATTATTTATTGTAAGAAGCAGAGGTGCAGAATCTATCGGCGTATGCGAACAAACATTCGGGAAAAGTTTTGAAAATTCATTAGCATCTGAGGAAATTCTTCGAAAAATAATGGGTGCCGCATAATGCATCTTCCACTTTTATTTCCGGTCTTTGAGGCATTTAATACTTGTTCAAATTTCAGTTCTGAGTTCTTTGGATAGAGAATGTAATTCTCTACAAAACTACCAGCTTCGTTTTACAGAGAGACTTTTCATGCAGGCGTGGACTTCATGATGTTAAAACCTATTGAAATGTCAAATTGCGAATTTCTATTTTGCTAGAGATAAAAAGTCATTTGTATGAATGTGTGTTCATAAAGATCGATGCTAAAAGTTAAGTATTGTATACAAGTGTTTTGTTCGAGAGAATAAAAGTTGCGAACTAATATCTGAGAGTATTTTTGGGTGCATTATAAGTTATTTTATTACAAGTCAGACTGGTCCTACAAAATGCTGATTCTCGCACCACCGAATGCACAGTTAAATTCTAAACAATCGGTGCATGAATTTACTCAAACAGTTGAAATACTTAAACTACTTTGAATCAGTAGAAAACAATAGCTCAGCTTTGTCGAAAACCAGCTTTTTTCGGTGCTTCGACATTTTCTATTTCGAAACTTTTCCTCTCAAATATTTGTTCTAGCACTTTGAAAATCACATCAAAAGATGCAAAACTGTACGTAGAATATTTCAAATTTCTACAAATCCGTTTCTAAAAATTGCCTATAAAATTATTCAAAAAGCAAAGTCGATATTTTTGTAGACAATTAAGTTCTGTATTGATTGACATAAAAATTAAAATTTAATATAAATTGTTGAATGATTCAAAGATAGGAAATATAAATGAGCGATTTATGATGAAGTATCCATTATTTTTCCCTTTTCAGAGAAAAATTTTCCGTGAAAATTTCGTGATATCATAATATTAAAACTGCATTTGAAGAATACAGCATATTTAATAATTATCTTTGTTTTCTTTCAATCTTTTCGATATTGAGCTTGTATAACTATCACCCGTTTCAAAAAAGAAAAAAGTTGGTTGATTTTTTAATAAATTTTTAATGGAAATAGGTATCAGTCTTCGGTTTTCATCATTTGATCGAGGCGAGCATTCTGCATTTTTCTATAAATGATAAAAATAGGTTACCTTATGATTCAGATTAGTAGTCAGTAAAATTACAAGAAGCACTGAAAGTATCGTAAAAATTTTATGAAATTTCAATTGTAAGAAGTGCGTTAGATGCGTCTGCTCAAGATCTACAATTTTACACAAACCAGAAGTTTTTATTTTGTGGGTGTGGATGTAGGTGTAAGTGTGGAATTTCACTTAAATAATACCCACATTCACAAACCGACACTCACTCCCTTATATTATCTTGTACGTATTGCATAGTTGAACGAATGAAAGTTAACTTTCTTAACTTGAAATCTATTTTATTTAATAATTATTTTATGAAAAAAACATGAAACGTACGTCGAAATGAGTATACTTTTAAGAATTGTTGCTATAAGTTCATAGAGTGTTCTGAACACAAAATCGTGCCTAGATAAATCGATTTTACGTTTCATGTTTCTATGAACAACCTGAAATGCAATAGTGGCATATTGATATAAATTTTTCTGTTGGAATCGAATAGAATATTGAGTGAATACAGTATTTACTCGAACTAGTATGTATTCGGGAAGTAAAGATACTCAGTTAGCAATTGAATAACTCAAGAACAGTGTGTCTTAGCGATTTGTTCTTTTCAGCATAGAAAAAGTACGGTGGGGGACACTAGTATATATATGATATGATAAGATTCAGTAGTGATGAAGGTTAGAAAAATATGAACCTTTGAAAAAAATAGCTTGAATTCATAGTCCATAGAATCATTCTTTTCTTCTTTTATATGGATTATAATGATGGCCGGTCATCTATCAATAGCACACAATATCCAGCTATCAATTCTTTGATAGTCGAAAGCTTGAAGGCCAGCACGAAGAAGTTATGCAGTCCTTCATTGAAATATTCTAATAATGTGAAATTGCTCTTGAATAATATATACAAACAGGTTATCAATCCTTCGAAAGCGAATGACAAGAGTCAATATGGATTGAAGAACAGTCTAAAGTGCGAAATATATCGTATTCGAGCATATCGATAACATTATTATATAATATTTATAGATTAGACTTTTCTGAACGATCATTAAAACTGGTTCATATTTTTTTATTATTTTTTATTAAAAGAAGAAAAGACTGATTCTATGGACTATGAGTTCAAGCTATTTTTTTCAAACGTTCATATTTTTATAGCCTTCATCACTATTGAATCCCATTGTATCTTATATAGACTAATGTCCCCTACTGTGCTCTTTCTATGCTGAAAAGGACAAATCGCTAAGACATACCGTTCTTGAGTTATTTAATTTTTAATCGAGTATCATTAATTTCCGAATAGACATTAGTTTATGAAACAGACCCTTATTTTTCCATCAGTAGCTCTGTCGTGTTTCACATTCTAATTACTCAGAAATTATACTAATAGAAGTTTTAAAAGATTTTCATTTTGTTTTCTTGAACAGTACTGTATCTTTTCATATGAATACAAAATAAGTTATTTCTTGTATAAAATCTAAATGTTTTATCAAGAAGTAAATTGCTTGTTTAGCATACACATAGTTCTGTCAGTTTTCCAGTATCGTCAACACTGGCAGTCTTCTGTTACGTCTTTTTTTGTTTTATTTCAGATACATTTGACATCATCTTTGTCTATATAATATTGAAAAATGTGAAGAAATTTTCTTGTTTTTAACTTGTCGGCTATAAAACCAAACAGAATCGTTTTTTTATTCTTGTTTTATAACATTCTAGACTCTTCCAAAATGCTTGTTTGTACGATGTCGATGGAAGAATAAATACGACGAAAGTAAGCATCGATGGAATAAATGAAATAAAATATCCTACAAGATACATCCATGGGTCATCAACGGATTTCATACAGCCTAACATGAAGGAAATGATCAAACGTGGCGTAGCTAGAATGACTAAAACAATTGGCGCAATCAATAAATGATTGTGTTGTTTTAATTGTTCACATAATAGTGTTTGATAACGTCGATGACGTTCAAGAGTTTGTCGTTGTCGAGTAGTTAATATAATAATGCTTAATGCTGAAATCAAATTAATAAAAAATGGAATTAAAAAATGAAATATATTCATGAATGTATTGAACATTTGAAGACTAGATGAATAAGTAACAATACACCAAATTCGTTTCTCGTTATCATCATCATCATTATCATCATCTATCAAACGTCGATGAATAGGATCCTGAATAGTTGTAGTAATATTCAAAAATAGAAGAATAAGAATAATATATTTTGCCATTCGTTTGCTCTTGTTCTTATCAAAACTGGTTGCATTTACTGTGATTATTGTTCTTTCTATGGCAACACATGCAATCAACCATTGATCTACATTAATACTAATTCGTAGCAGAAAATCTACTGAAATACATTGATATCGTAGAAATACACGATTCGAAATAGATGTGATTTGTGCAATAATAAGTATCCAAAATTTCAATGCAAACATGATCATTATGATTACACTGGTAATCGATGATCCTAGCAGATAAATACCACAGCCAAGTTTACGTGATTCACTATTATTAAATGTAATTAAGGATAGGTTACTATTGATGAATCCTACGATCATCATAACTATGGTGATTATTATACATATTTGTACAACAAAAGGTTGATGTTGTATTTTGATATGTGGCTGAATATGGTAACCTAAAATAGCATCAAGTGAAAGACTCAATCCACTTGAACTAAATTGACAACGTTTTCCATAAAAACAGGTTAGACAAGCACATACTGATGTTTGTGAACAAGTACGTCTATCTTGTAAACATTGTGCTCCATTTTCACAATTGCTTTGACCAAAACAATCGAATTTTTTTGAATGATTAAATTCGAAACAATTGGCTAAACGCTGTTGTCCATAATTATTACATAAACAAAAATAATCATTATCATAAAAACAAGATAATAGTGATGAATGTTGTTGACATGCTAAATGATAGTATTTAATACGACGAAGAAGATGAAATTCAACAATAGTCTTATTCAATATTTCACTTATATATTTACAGCGATCTGATGAATTAATTGTTGTAGAAATTGTGTCTGATCGATTGTATGTCTTTTGAACAGTAATTAAATAATAATTTATATCAAAAAGTTTTACAAAAACAATGTGAAATGGATGTGACCAATAAATAGTGACTGAATTTTGATTGGCAGGAATCGTTTTGAATGTAGAACCGCTTTCTGGTGGAGCATTGTCAATTATTTCAATAAAATGAACGAGTATTGATTGTGATAAGACAATACTTTTATGAAATGATACCATAATTTTATTATCAATTATTTCACATCTTCTTCCACTGAAACCTTTTGCACAAATACACATGAATTGCTTGTTAGGTATTATGCTTTTATCAATGTGGACACATTGACCACCATTATAACAGGTATAATTTTGATTAGGTTGACAAATTAAATCTCGAAGAAAACATTGGGAACCCCATTTATTTATTGAACAAACACATAATGAGCGCTTGTTTGCCAGAATACCAATACATAAAGAGTCAGACGAACATGTACACTTATATGGAATAGTACAAGATTGACCTGACCATCCTTGATCACATTTACAAAACGTGATGCCTTTTGGATCATTCGAATATTGAATACATTTACCATGAACACATTGCCGATTGGAACAGCTTTGTACTTCATGACTCGTATATGGAATATTTATTTGAAGAGCAATACGATGTACAGGTAAAAAAGTAAAGTTAAGTAATATTAATAAACTTGTTCGATACATGAGTGAAACTTTTTCATAGATATCAATACGAAGTGAATATTGTTTTGTCTGATTTTTTGGTCGAGTTGCATACAATAAATAAGTATTGAACTTGATTGAACAATGATAAATATACAAATAAGTAAATTGTTGATATGAATGAATGATTTGCTCATCACTATCATCAACAAGTGAGACAACAATAGCAAATAATGTTCTTCGAGAATCAGAACTTGTTTGAAATTGCATGGTAAGACTGACTCGTTGATTCTGATATTGACACATGTTTCCATAAAAACTGGGTGGACATAAGCATGTTATTGTAGTTACATTGTTTTCTTCATGTAACCAAACTCGTAAAGGAACACCACGATGGCATGTTTGTTCATGATAAAGCGTCGTTTGTGTAATAGAGGAATATGGTATTATTAGTTTTGGCTTCTGTTTTGTTGTGTATATAGTTGAGTCCTTAAGTTGATCAAATCCAAAATGCACAATTTGTGGTTTATTAGTATCGATTTGACGTGTACAAAAAAAATTTTCAATATCAGAACGAATCAAGTCAAAATTTCCGTGGCAAATACTATCGTCAACAGTACGATTCTTAGAGATGTCACACACTTGTACATCGGCTTTGTTGTCACAATTACTAGAATAACATAAATTGCTGGTATCGATACAAGAATCATTCATATAGGTCATGCAGTGAAAATTTTTATTATTCAGTTGATAATCAATGGCTCGACATAATTTTGGTTCATCAGTAGCACCAAGACAATCAATATGACCGTCATTAGCTTTCTCAAGAGGCAAACACATGAATTGGTTTGTCTCAGGAGAGACACATATGTGATGATGAAGTGGACATTCCAATGATGGTATTGCTGGTTCACAATCAATTTCATCAGCTCCATCAAAGCAATTCCAAAAACCATTACAACGTGTATAAGTATTATTACATTGCCAATATTCACATTCTGTTTCATCTGTTTCATTTTTTCCATCAATGTTAACAGGTATTAATTCTGTAAAACCATCACAAATAGTTGGAAATGAAATATGATATCTAATCGAGTGAAGATGCATATTTTCATCCTCACATAAATCATATTCATTCGTTCCACATTCACACTCACCATTTTCGACAAATAATAGAGGTATACATTTCTTGTTTGTTTTACAGTAGAAGGTCTGGAGAAATCGGTATATAAAACAAGAATCTTTTTGTAAAGAGCATTTTTTTTCATCATCTTTAAAATCACAATCATTTCTATTGTCACAAACACGATTCGCTAAAATACATTTGGAAGAATTTAAGCATTGATACATGTTTGGATTATTACAAATTATAGAATTATTACGTATAATTGTGTTGCATTGTGACAGCTCTTCGTATAGAGGTGCAACATATGTAACCATCCATCTACCTCTTCCAGCTCCGTGCAAACGAAAAGAAAGTGGAAAATCTTCAGGTCGACGGCATGCAGTATTATTGAGTAGCCATATTGTTCTATTTGGGTAGAATCCAGAGCATAATTGATCATTATAACATATAAACTGAGGAGGCGGTGGTATTGCTGATAAACTAATAAGCTTTTGTTTAGTGTAGACAAAGTAAACATGACCAAAAATGACCGGTCCGGCAGGTACATTTATCAAATCGGGACAAGTTGCATTGATAAGCTCTGTACATATTCCATTGAGACAAAGGTCATGACATTGTGGATTCCATTGATTTGGAACACCTAAACGACACTTGACTGCTAAATAACACTTACTAGATACTGCATTTGGTTTATCAGAAAATATCAATCGTTCTAATAAGTTGCTACGCGCTTGAACACAGGAGCTTGTTAATTTCGCTTCAGTAAAGCGATCACGGTGGGGACATGTAATATCTTCTGTTAAAAATGTTGGCTCACCGCTAATACTATCATAGAGTTTTGCATCTAAAATCTCATCTGATCGATCAAGACATTCAAAAGTATTACCACCATCGCTCCAAAAAGCCTTCTGTATACATTGTCCATTATAACATCGATACTCATCGTCATTGCATTCATTGATTTCAAATAGCCAACAAGATTCTTCATCGATTCCATTCTGACAATCAACGATTCCATCACATATTTCAGTCCAATCAAGACATAGCGATGCTGAACCACGATTACATTCTAAATGAATATAACATGTTAATTCTGTTGGTTCATATGTATGTTGATAAAATTCATAAATAATTTCATTTAACGATGAATGACGAAATTCATAACTATCCAATGAATATTGACACAATGGTCCAAATCTTGGTAGTGTACAATTATAGAATAACTTCATTGCTATTAATGATGATGATGTTTTTGAAATTGAACGTTGATTTAAATACAATTGATAACGTTCGATTATATCCAGCGGTGCCGACCAAATATATAATTGTTCACTTGTAATACTTTGATCAGCGAGTTCAGCAAAAGTAAACTTTTGATTAAGACTACTTTTTTGTATATTCCATTGTGATGGCCATTCATTCATACAGTAAGAAATAAAATGATAAGAATCATATCCTTTTTCCAACCAAGCAACCACATGGAGGCAATCATGCTGAAACACAACATCACTCTCATTATCATTTACCCAGTCAGTGAGATCAAGATGAATTTGAGATGATGCAATTACAAAATATAACAGAATAAAATAGATTACATCAATGACGAAGAACATTGTCGAAACCTCTAATAATTCTAAATGAATCCAACGTTTAGAAATATGTATATACGTATATATATATATATATATATATATATATATATATATATACTAAAGAACCCAATATTGTTAGATATGATTTTTTTTCTTTTGATACTATTGATTAGAAATGTTTACCCATTAAAAAACCTAGGTCAATGTAAAATATAACCATTTGCTCTTGAATTTCAATAAAAAACGTTTAAAGCTAAACGATATTATATGATTAAACAGATGATAACTCACATCTGCCATCATTTTAACCGGAACTACATTAGCGATATGAAATTAATTCACCACTTTGACTCCATATGTATATTTTATATTTTATCCTTGTTGCAAATGCATGAACAAATATTTCAATGAATCATCAGTGCCAGTTACTAACTAGGTCTTGTAAGGAACACGATATATGGATGTAGGTAGGTGCCACATATATGAAGACCAAACTCTCACTGACACACATTCGCATATGTACCTCACCATGATGTTTATGGCTTTATCGCTTTCCAATCATTTTAATTCTGATATACTCTGAGGATAGAATTAGGTTGCATTTATTTACATCAATCTTTACAGTTTGCTCGATAGCACATAAATCAAAATTGTTCTTTTTTTTGAAAGTTTTCTAAAGAAACTAAACATAAAAAATAGTAATTCAGGAATACAAAAATGTCTTGTCTCCATGATTTCTTCTATTTAAATTGATTAATCATGAAACATGCAGGTCATAGACAGTTTTGTTGTGAACTTTGAACTAATTTATCTGAAAAAAAAATGTCATTAAACAAACTCTGTAAGACTCAATAGTTTGAGCCTAAGTCGTCTAAATGTTTAGATATAAAGAGTAAAATATAACTCTTTAACGCACAGATAAAAAAGGCTCTCTTTTTCCAGTTAGGTGTAAAGAAGTGATCAGTCCTGCAAACAACACTGTGCCAAGCAACAGTGCGCGAGAGCATTTTTATCGGTGAAAACCAGTATCGTATTTTGGTTCAAAGAAAATGTTGATACTTCCCAAGATGAAAAAGCTATTGACTAGTCTTTAGGTCACGTATACACATGAATTTTTCAAAGAAAAATTCTACTGTCGGATAAAATGGTTTCGAAATTAAAATAATGATACTTATTGTTATTATCAAGTTGGCACGACTATTTTTATTCAAACATCTAGTTTTTTCGATATACAATAGTGTTCGAAAGATGATGAATGTCAAGAGTCTTTTGAAGCTATTTTTCGCACGAAAGAAAATTTCAATGTTGAATATGAGTGTGGGTGGTTGTGGGTGTAGGTGTGGGGGGGGGGGGGGGGGGGGGGGAGGGGAGAGAGAAACAATAAAACACAAGTACCAATAAATACCCAACCCCACAAGAAATTCAGCACTACCCTCACTTACCACACACATCCCACATCCCAGACCCAACACCCACACCAACACCCATAATGGGCATTGAAATTCAAGGCCGATTGCTGTTTTAGCAACAATCATATAGAACTTATTTGATGCATAATATAGAAATGTAGACATATGCCTTAAGCACATTCTAACCAAAGGCAAAAATTGATTAGTATTCGCTTTTTCATCATGACTCATCGATCATGTCTTTCATTCTTTTTTTTATTCACCTAATTAAGATAGAAAAATGTATGAAGAGCCTAGAAAAAATATATGCGAGACACCTATGCGTTGATTTTTCTGCTTCTTATCGCGTAACCTGTATTAAACGATAGTTTGCTGTTGTTCTCCACGTGCATGCTGTTTCTTCTTCTGATTTTCGTCTTTGTATTACTTACGTATTTATATGTAAAACTGAAATACTTTACACTTCGTGGTCCTCTACCCGGTTTGTCACCACATGTTTTCTTCGGAAACTTGATCCAATCGGGTTTGCTCCATGGTGCGACCACTGACCAAATCTTTGCAGCATTCAAACGTCGTTTTGGTAACATTTTTCAATTTTGGCTCGGTCCTTCACGTGTTATTGTTGTCAATAATGTTGATGACATACAGCACATATTTACTCATCGACGAATCTACGATCAAGGCGATATGTTTGTTGAAAAATTTAGTATTTTCGTTCCAGATGGTCTCATTAGCATCAAAGGTCAGTTATATTCACCTAATCGATAACAACCTTTAATGATCATCTTTAGGTGCTAAATTCAAACGACATGCTGCAGTAACTCTGCCGTTATTTCGCCGCGGCAAAATTATCTCTAATCTAGATTTGATAATCGATTGTGTTGACAAACTGTTGGACAATTGGAGTGCTAGTTCAGTGCAACAAGTGCACCTAAATATTGTTCAACAGTGTCAAAATCTACTTCTAGCTATTTTTGGATTCATTGCATTTGATTATGATTTGAAAACACTTGATGACGATGGTGCTAAAAGCAATCATGACCTCACTCAAGCATTACGAGACGTCTTGGCCGCATTTCATATAACGATTCATTCTCCATGTTTTGTAAGCACTATCTACTTAAAACTGAGTTCTCGATATCGACGAGCTCGAGCAACTATTGAACAATATTGCAATCGAATGATTGAACAAGAATTAGCCGAGAATCCGGAATTGATTGCTCAACGAAAAAGAACATCATTGATCGCCTCACTAGTCTCTTCACTGCAGCAGGACGAAAAAGAGGAAGCGAAGAAAAGTGAAGAGGACAAAAAAGGTAATTTTATATTCTACGTGAAAAATTGACATTGTGAGCTTACTTCGTATGTTCATAAGTGTACTTTTGGCAACTTGAAAGTACGAAACCTGATTGATTCTGTTAGTGAGTAACTCTAAAATACAGGATTATAACTACGATCAATGATCTAATGAGAAAACTGCTGAAAAAAAGCTGTTAGCTTAATCCCTACTGGATTAAAATTTGAAACACGACGGAACTGCTTGCATTGTTTCTGAGGGAATTTACCAACATATATTTCGCTTTGTGAATTATTACGTATTGTTAATACATTTCAATGACCAAAGATGTTAATCTTAATATATTACAGCGGGTGTTCCAAACTTATACCGCTATACTTCAACACTCCTTTTAGATCATGTTTTACAGAAATAGAATAGTTTCAGAGTCTCATATGAGTTAATTACTTGTTACCAATGACAGACTCAGTTCGAAGTGAATTAGCTTCGATTGAACACTTTTATGTAATCCAAATTTTATGATTAATCGTGCACATCAAATGCAAAAAAATATATTCTGAAAGAAGAATCGAGTTCCTCAATAATTTTTCATAGATAAAACAATACTACTGGTATTTTCTGTCAATAGGTTTGTCTCGGAGTGAGTTGTTGCATGAAATGCTTCTATTTCTCATCGCTGGATTCGAAACAACGTCCACGGCTCTATCTTGGTTTATACATATCGTGAGCAAACATCCCCGAGTACAACAGAAAATCAAGGCTGAATTAATGGATAGTCACAATGAGAAACGGCCATTAACTTTAGATCGTCTCGACTCACTGGTCTATTTGGATGCTGTAATCAACGAAGTGCTTCGCTTTGCTCCACCCGTTGATGGAACATATCGTACATTAACTGTTGATGACCGTTTACCTGAAAGTAATGCTCAACTATACAAATATGATCAAGTATGTATTTCATTTTACAATGTGGCACGAGATCCTCGATATTGGTCAGTCAATCCAGAACTCTTCTATCCGGAGAGATTTTTAGATGAAGACAAATGTCATCATCCATATGCGTTCCTTCCATTTGGCAGCGGTCATCGTCAATGTGTTGGACAAGATTTAGCTCGATTCGAGCTGAAAGTAATTGTAGCAAGGTTGATGCAGTACGTTACTTTCGGTGATGGTGGTCCTCAAGTCAATGCGGGTGGCCAGATGTGTGCTCTCACTATTATGCCTAAATATGTCGATGTTACTATTCGATTTGATTAACTAAAACAGAGCTTATTATTCTAATATGTCGGACCGAGAATAGTGATCTCGGGTGTAAGGTAGTGATCTATATATGATCTTCGCTCTACTATCTTTGTTGTCTTTTTCTTCCCTATATTTATATGTTATTCTCGCTCATGGGTTATTTCTTTCATTCTCTTCGTTGAACTTTTCCTTTTCTCTCTTTCGCATATATAGAATTTTCCTTTTTTTGTTTGTTTGTTATTCATTGTCTATGGGATTTTCCAGGGTGTGGATGTGGGTGTGAATAGGTTGTGTATGAGTAGGTTTTCTGAAGGCAGACACGCACACCACGTTTTATCAGTTTGTTCATTTAGCATTCTATTTCGATATAACAGTGTAAATTTGTCTCGACTTGCTTCTTTCAAATTTATTTGAAATTGAACCAAACTAGAGCTTCATCAAAGTCATCTGATGAAGTCCGTTAAGCCGGATCGTAGGGTGGGTGTGGGTGTTAATCTTTACTTCATCCACACCCATACCCACACCCCACACCTCCACCCACATCCACACCCACACCCACTCCTGTACTTTATATCGAATGATTTCGATAGTTTTTTAATGAAGAATTTAATTTGAGTTATAAATGAAACCTGTCGTTTTGAGAAACGGATAGTTTCATGATAAAAAAAAATTAGAGCCTACACTGAGTCACTTCGAAGTCAACAAAGTTTTTTGCTAAGAATTCAGTTTTAACATATTAACTTGTTCGAATAGTAGGTTTTGTTCTCTGATATTTGCTGTATAAACTAATGCATTTTGAAGGTTCCAACAATGTCCATAAGCATTGATAAGACGTCGTTGGAACGTTAAAACACAATTTTCGACAAATTTTAGTTGACTACGAAATTGATCTGTGTAAGACTCTAAAAATAACATAATCATTTTTATTGTTTTCATCATTCGATTCTTTTAAAACTTATTATCGTAATCAGCAAACACATGCTGTTTCCATATCAGACGTGATTATCTGGATGTTGCCTTAGAGTATTACTATTGCATCCATTTATTCACAGTACGAAAGCAAAACACAGCAACTAAAAGAATAAGTTAACCGCCTATTTCTATATTCTTGACATAGTCATCCGTTTCAGGGAAGAATGGAATTAATATTAGCAAGTACTAAAGAAAATATTCTGTAACTATTTCAATGGAAAACTACAATATCATGATATTCATTAAAAAAGACCTTTCTATCAAAATTTCGAGCAGTAAAACCTTGCCAACCAAACTTTAGGAAAGAAAAAAATCTTTTAAGAAGATCAATGAAGTTTAGGTTATTTAAATCTTGTCAAAGCTCAAAACACATCTTCTCTTATCGTTCAGAAATTCATTTTCATGATGAATTTCATTGTTATTTATTTTTTCTTTAACCAATAGAAACGTCAAACAAGAGAAGATGTTTATTTAGATTACTCGGAAGAAATGTAATTGTAAGTGTTTCATTTGAATCAGCTTTTGGTATGTTTGCTACATAATAAAATAACAAGAAATAGTAAAGAAGCAAAAAGGGCTTATGTTGATACAACAATAAATGAAAGATGAGCAAATGTTAATAATTTGTTTTATATTGACTGCACACAGCAGAAAAAAACATCAATGCATAAAACAATTCAAGGAAACACGCCATGCATCATAGGAAAACATATACACATGAATCAAACTGAATGGTAATTACACGCTAGGAAAATTTGTTAATAGTTTTAATGGTTGAAATCAGATTTCTTTTTAGACATTTTGTATTGTGGAAATTTCCTCTTTCGAACTTTTTGATAATAACTCAAACAAACATGTTATATCTAATTCAATATGAAGTTAAGAAAAACGATCGTGTTTATCATAATGTAGCTTAGTATTGATTTGTCTCAAATACTTAAAGAATTATACATTTTTATATTAAAAGAATACATTTGATTCGATATTATTATTAGACTGTTCTCTTTTTTTATGGTGCAAAAAAAAATAAAAGTATATCAAAGCACGTCACTGACATTTTCTCTTTTGAATGTAAATCTATTTACACCATATCTTCACTACTCTGTCCAATACGTGTTCGTTCTGCAAGTGGTGATGATTTATAATGAAAATCTTGATTATTATTAAAATATTCATTTGTTGACGTTTGAATACCATTAGGACTTGTAGAACCATCATTACCTAATAAAAATTGATCATCTGGTGTTGTTATTTGTTGAAATTCTTTTGCATAAATTTCTTCGGGAGTTGGTCGACGACATCCTAATAAATAACCAATAAGTCCTATAACAGCTATTGTTAAAAAGATAAGTGCAAAAGCAATAAGTACAATTGACCAAAATGGAAAAAATCCTATAAAATATTAATAACAAACGATTATCTTTTTTCAAAATAAAATTGTTAAAAAAAAATAAAGAACCTCGAAGTAAATAATCGGGATTGATACGATTAAACATATCTGTTCGTCGACCTCCGGATAATTCATAATGTGTTCGAGCTCCATAACCAAGATCCTGCTGTTCTCGTAATTGATCTGGTGTTAAAAATTGTCCATCACATAGAATAACAATAGTTAATAAAACTCCTAAATAGGATACTTTCTTTTTAACAAAATAAATTTGTCTATTAAACCTGCTATGGCCTTGACAAAAATCATATTCTGCTAGAGGACCATTAAAGAATATATATATATGTGTGTATATAAATGAAAAGAAAAAAAAGAAATAAGACGAATGGGAGAAGGGTCACCAAATAAAGTCGTGAATACGAGCATCAATGAGAGGAAGGTAAAAAAAAAATGAGAAAGAAAAAAATGGAGGAATGAATATAATGAGTTCAAGTAAAAAAAAACGTCCAACGAAGAAAATGTGTCGTTTGTCGTAGAAGAAGAAACAGAACTGTCGGTTTTTTTAACACACATTCGCTTGTTCGGCATTTGTCAATCGAATGTGTCCTTCATCATGAAAAGGAAATACAGACCATAATTTGATTGATAAATGTTATATTTAAATAAAACTTGCGTCAGCTGATGAATCTTCATATTCAATCTTATATAGTTTAAGTGGCGAATGTGATGTTTTTTCTTGTCTGATTGAAATATATTCAAGGTTGTCTCTGAGGTCACTAGGATTACATGGGAAGATCGATGAATCATAAGGTCTTTGCTAGAGTTGATCTGATTTGAAGAAGGCGAGATTTGAAGAGGTTTTTGGCAAGTGGTCAATCAAGGAAAAAAACTCGCTGTAGAAAAACGAGGAATTACTTTTGAATACATTACACATATTGGATTTAATATTTCTGTAGAGAATTTTTTTGTACTAATCACAAACCCTTGTTAAAGTTACAAAAGCTAGAACAAAACATAAAGGTTAGTTTACAATCACTGATGAGAGAAAAAACCCTTGTCTTGTTAAATTATTGTTATTCTTCATTTTACATCTTTCAATTTTCACGTTGATACCTTTTAAAATATGATTGTCTTTTTCGAATTATAATAACAAATATATACATTGTAAAATTCCTAAATATTTTAATTTTTCTTTTGCTTATTTCAAGCAATTTAAATTAATTTTAATCTCCGATTACCAAATAAAAATAACTAGTCAATTCGCTCACCAACAACTTTGGCTCTTTCTCACATACACATGAATACCCATAATTTAAAAATGAATCATCTTCATACCTATGCACACAAAACAAAAGAAAAAAAAAAAGAAGAAGAAAAAAAAAATCATAGTAACATACTACATAAAACACACGCACGTAATGTGATACATCTGCCTAAATTTACGCATAAACGCGCACATCAATAATAATAAGAATAATGATAATAGTAATAATAATAATATTAGCAATGAAAAAAAAAATTGAGGTTGAAGAAAAAAAAGGGCAAAACAAATATGCAATTTAAAAAAACGAAAAAAAGAAAATGTCTTTTTGTTTTTCTGCTAATAAAGATAAAATACACAGAGACAAAACAAGTACACATATATTATTGAGAAAAACAAAAATGACCGGACAGTAAGAAAGATTTTTGTACACTAAAAAAAAAAGGAAAAAACAAGATGGAGATACGTATTTAAAAAGATCATATATCATACAACTAAATATATATATATATATGTATATATGTACGATTTCTTTTTTTCGTTGTTCACCTTCTTGATTAAATATTCATTGGACTAGACATCGAAAGAATATTTATTCATTCCAATTAACATCAAAAAAATTATTATCATCACTATTCGACTGTGATTGTACTGACTGTGGAATTGTTCTTGTTGTTGTCGGTGGTGTAACGAGATCATATAAAAAATTCATATCACTATTTGGATCATAACTTGTTCCAGTTGATGCTGAGTTTGTTGGTGATGGAGTGGCTATAGATTTTGATTTGATTAATTTCAATCGTTGATTGGATGTATCTGTAAAATATTGTAAAGTTTGTCGATGTTGATATTGATCAAGATCAGTTGACATTCGATTATTATCAACTATTGTTCGATTATGACGATATAAATTTGGATCTGTATTAACAGGTGAATGAAGAAGATGCATATGAGATAGATTATTGGGTGTGTAATCATCATTTTCATTAAGTGAAATATTATTAAGTTCATCATCGACTGCTCGTGGTACAATCATAACTGAATTCGTTACAGGTGTAGCTGATGATAACTGATCATAATGATCAGTCTCCGGAGATATATTGTCTTCCATATCGGTATCAATTGAAGAAGCATTCGAATCGAGGTCGTTCTCTTTTGAAACTAAAAAATAAATTATAATTCAAACATAACTATATTATTCAAATGAAATATTTATACGGCACAACATATTAGTAAACCCGATCATGATTGTACAATGCATTAGACTTGCAACAACGCTACTAATTATAATTGTTTTCTATTATTTTTTTTAAAGCATGCAAAACCCCGATCACTATAGCGTGCAATGCATAAAAGATAAAACTATTATGTGCAAATATCCATCTACCCTATATA